TGGGGTGTTGAAACTAATTGCATTATCGTACAGCAGGCATGAGAGGTAAATCAGAGCTGCGATGTGATAATCAAAAGCTAACAAGACACACGCTACAGTTAAGATTTTTGTTTATCCTTTTCCATTCCTTGACCGCTGCTAGCCGTCAGGGCTTCGCTGTAGGTGTTGTTTGAAACTATGAACATACTGCGGTCACTTTCCATAAGCTTTGCACATGTACCTTTACAGAACATGTCCTGATGATATATCCCAATAAACACGGTGCCTCTGCTAGGCCCTGGTTGAAATGATCAGTGTACATTTAGTGACACGGATAACCAAAGCAATTACTTTATAGTGGAAAGAAATTTAATACTTAGTGTGAGTAATTTTTGGAGGTAGGGAGATTCAGTAGATCACATTTTATCTTTTCTTACTGAACAATTACTTTAAAAAGCACGTATCCATGGTGTAATATGTACACATGGTTGACTTGAGAAAATCAACACTATTTACTGTATTTTTTTTATTTTTAGAGTATTTTACGTTAGGTAATGAGATATCAAATTTTCAAAATTACAGTAGTATTATACAGTCCATACTCCTTTGTTCACCTCCAAAATCCTGCAGTGTGGTCAGAGAAAGCTACATAATTGTTTACAACAGTGAAAAATTATGTGTAGGTACAGGTTAAAAGAAGACATTGAAAACTTCGACAGTAATGAAAGAAAATTCATTTTATTCTGGATAGTTACTCTGATTTGGGTGACCGGGCACTAGCCCTAGGAAGTTGGGGATTTTTAACTAAAACAATCTCTATTCCAAACTTTTCACTAATTAAGAAATTATTCATTAAGCAAAACTGACAAAGAATGAATCCAGAGTTAGCCTGGTTTGGAGAAAGCAAAAGCCACACTGCAGAGAAATGTAATTTGGCCTAAAATTATGTAGAGCATTTTTACTAAATGTCACATGCTTTGAAATTGCATATTTCTTCTCACCCAGACATCACACATTTAAGAAGGAGTTTGACAACTGTGAAAAGGTGAAAATATCAGTTACACTGTGGAATTAACAGAGCACTGATAAAGTGAGAAGACTAAATCTCCATGAATAGGAAATGGAAGGAGTTAGAGGTTAATCATTTAATGGTTTACCGTGTATCTGCTCAAATGATACCACAGAATAAAATTTGGGGCATGAACAGTTGCCCACAATATTTTGTGAGAATGAAAACCAGAATTAGAATGTAATCTTACTGTTATAAATAAAATTTATATATGCGTAAACACAAAAAAGATCAAAGCACAATCTCTAAATGATTAACGACTGTTTGCTCTGGCTGATGGGGCTGTGACAAGTTTTATTGTTTTCTAAACATATGCGTACATTCTCTAACATTTTGGATGGAGCACGTGCTACTTTCATAGTAAATTAGTAAGAAAAACTTCATGTAAAGAAAGAAGCATCCACGTGACTTGCTGTCTTTTCTTCCTAAACTTTATCACTTAGAAGAATCACCAGTTAGGCTTTGTGAGTAGAACGCTTTCTGGAGTTATTGTACCATGAGCCGAGTTTCCAAGAGCAAGCACTAAAGTGTGCTTCACAGCAATGGGCACAGTGCCAATAATGTATTACTCACGTAAAAAAAAAGCCATCCTGAGTTTTGCCTAACATATCTTCCAACAAGTGTAATGTTTGTGCTCCAATATTTAGATCTTTTATCCACTTGGATTTTAGTTTGGTGCATGGTGAAAGATAGGGTCTCGTTTTAATCCTTGACAAGTTGAAATCCAGTTTTTCCAACACTGTTTATTCAAGAGTGAGGATGATTGGCTCTTTTGTCACAGATGAGGTAGCCACGTATGTCTGGAGTTGCCCCCCCACAAAATGGAGTACTACACAGCCATAAATAATGAAAAACTAAAGACATTTATAGCTAAGTGGATGCACACTGAGGGGATACTCTCAAGTGAAATTAATAGGACTTATATGTGTAAATGCCAAATAGTTTCTTTGGTATAATAAATTAAAAGTGTAAATAAGGATCCAAATGTATAATTGATAATAGGAAGAAAAGGTCTAAAAGTGTAGGGGAAGTGGGAGGGGTAGGGGAAAGGTAAGAGGTAAAAGAAAAACTAAGAGAAAAGGAATAATATGGAAGCAAAGTCTTTTTAAATAGGGAAGGGTGGAGGGGCTGAAGGGATGGCAGGGGAATGGGAAAAATATAAGCACCAAGAACATGTGAAGGTACAAGATCCCGATGATGATTGTAACTGTAGCATATGCCTAAAGTGTACCAATTAAAAAAAAAGCCATTGTGGCCATAGTGTGGATTTCATGTTATTCTTCTTACCATAATAAAAAATATTCTCTACAGTTGTGGTGTAGTTAAAATCGATTCTGTGGCTTTGACAGGAACAGCACTGCACCGAAATCACTCTGAGAGATGGCAAAGTAAACCACCGGAAAAGGGCTGGCGAGGAAGAGTCGGGGAAGAGACATCTGTGAGGCAAGAGACAGGGCACAAAGCAGCAACAAAGCAGAGATTAGTCTGAGAATCGGGGGACTTGTGCTCTCTTAGTCCCTAACCACAATTCCTCTGGGTAGAAGCACGAGTAGTCAGTCTCCAACCTAACCTTCAAATACACCATTAGTACTTGGGGTCTTAACATCAGATGAATGAGTTTATCGAAGAGAGTTTAAATGTTATGCTATTTAAATCTATCATTTCTAATAAAAATTCACTCACAAAGCCATTCCTTCATTACTTTCATTAATCTTTAAGATTTGTTACTCCACACATAACTTGAAATGGGATTTAATTCTCATACTCAGCTTGCTTAGTAGTATAGTAACATGGGAGATATTTTATCTTTCATATGAGATTTTTCCAGTATACTGATTGCTCACTGGATGAAGACGATTAGTGTACTGGAAAGCATTGTTCTCATTTTCACAGAGGAATGTTGTTTAATGGCATAGGTCACAGGGTTCTACAATGCATCTCTATGGTAATGTCAAATACACCGAGTTACGAAAATGGTAGTTTCGTTATAGTCACAGGAACATTTCCGAGAAGTCACCACCGAGGCCTCTACACAATCATCCACTTTTACAACAGGTTTCTGGAAATTAAAAATATTAATTTTGTGGGAGTTTACATCCAGATATAGCACTATTCTTATTTCAGAGTGAATTATCCTTATTGATTACACAGACATAATGATTAAATTCTGCTAGAAAATAAACATATTTATGGAGCCTCATTGTGATAAAGCAAAACTGCTTTGAAAATAATTGTACATACTGAGCAAATAGTTTGGGAAAATTCTACTTTATGAGATTATCTTCAAGTTTTTATTTGTGTTATTTAATGTTTTCTTTTCTACCTCAGAATCCTGGTTTTTACTAAATTGCTTAGTTCAAAAGTTCCTGACCTTCAAACAGGAAGAACAAACTGCCTTGAAGGCAGGCTATATGATATTGTATTGTATTGTAGTATCTATGATTATATTATGGCATCTAAAATTATAGCATCTATAATTTTATGATGAAAGATATGCAGAACATGTGTCTAACATACAGTGACAAATCTAGTTCTATGACAATGTTATTACATTTACTCATATTTCTTGAATCATTATTCTGTCTAGTAAGGTAAATTAACATCAGTCATTTCGTTTTCTTGCCTTTCTTTTTTTTTTTTTCTTTCCAGTGCTGGGAATTGAACCCAGGGCCTTGCACATACTAGGCAAGTACTCCATTACTGTATAATTTACTTTCTTTTCTCTCATTGGAAAATGCTAGTGATTTTTAATAGCAAAAGCTTTTATCCCACAAACCTAGAAATAATAGAGCTTAGTTTATTAAGATTTTTAAAGGTATTTTAAGGTAATAAATGCATTTGTAAGGTACAAAACAAAGCTTTTATTTCCTTCTTTGAAGTCATGAGTTTGTATAAAGAGTATCTTTCAAACACAGAAAGAAGCTTCATCTATTTTCAGCAAGGAGAAAATAAATAACTGCCACTTGAAATCTGGAAAAATAAAATATATTCAGTAAAGATTAGTCATTTCCTGTAGTGACAACCACATTAGAAAACTGCTTTCTGTGTTCCTCTCCCAAACACCAGGACAGTCTCTCTCCAGGGAATGGCGACCTGACCAGATCCTAGGGCCCGGGCTGGATATTTCCGCCTTGGCCTCCGCTCACAGCAAATCACTCAGCACAGCGGGACCCAAGTTCTCTGGATAGAGGCTGTTCACTCTCAAACTGAAGAATGCATTGGCAGATCCTACATTTTCATTCACATTTCTTTCATATTCTAACATAGGGAGAAGGGAACTAATGGTGAGAGATAATTAAACAAAAGGTGACTGTGACTCGTATTGTAAGTTCTATATTATTTTTATAACCAAAGCAACGGTGCTTCAGAGAGAAGCACATTTTTCTCTATATCCTCACCTTTTCCTAATTTATTACATCTTTAAAAATTAATTCTATTATGAACATAAGATTCATAAAGTGTATTCTTTAAAAAGACGACATGGTTGACCTTGGTGTATTTCATATCTAAGCTTCACCTTACCTTGCTAGAATAATTTCTTTCTGTTTATATTCTCTGCCCCTCTCCCTTCTCCCCTCCCTCTCTCCCTAACCCTTCCTTGTTTTGGTACCAGAGATTGAACTTAGGACCTCACACTTTCAAGGCAGGCGTAGAACCACGGAGCTAAATCCCCAGCCTTCCTCAGTCAAATTAAAAGTCAGAAATGACATGTCATTAGTGTATCTCCTAATGAATGACAGTTGAACTTAGCTGTTAAACCTGACAGCCTGAAAACAAAGAGCTCTTTGTTTGAAAAAGCAAAACTTTTATTATGAATTATAATATAAAGTATAATTGTAATATTATAAAAGACTATTTTAAAAGAAAACCCGTAAAATTATAAAAAGGAAGGAAAAGACAGATTGTAGATCAAATCTGCTGGAATTTATTGAAACTCAACAGAAACCATGTGTGAGCCGGGAATTTAGGTCAGTCTGCTGGTGCCGGCCTCACAAGTGCAAGGACCGAGTTCGATACCCTGGTAAAAAAAAAAAAAGTGAAATCTAAAAAAAAGTCACAAAAGATTCACAAATGACCACACATTTAGCTTTAAAATATTTATCATTTTGTATTTACCAGTATTAGAAAGCAAATAGTGTTTGTTTTACTTCTGATTCAAACTTCATGTTTACTCCAAAATACGTTTAGGCAAGTAACTCTCTAACATACTGCTTATAATGTTAACACAATATTTGATATTTGAATTTACATCCAAAAATTATATTCCAGTTATATTTTAAATGTGATATTTTATACTTTTAATATTTGAAAGTGTAAAAAATAGATTAATTTATATAAACAAATACATTTACTGTTAAGGTTTATATTTTGTGAAGTAAACAGTTTAAATTTGTATGAATCCATCTAATCCATTTACAGTACTATGTTGGAACAAAATTTAAAGGAAATAAAAATTGTTTTGGCTATTTTTTGCCTAAAGCTGGAGTTTTATTTTTTAATAGAAAAACTTGGAAGTCACTAAAGATATTAAAAGATCATAGAATTTTTTATCTGACAGCATATTTTGCTTCTTTTCGGGTAACACATACAATTTTTAGTACTCTCTAAGGTACGTCTTCCAATTAACTTGTAAATAGTGCAAGGAAAAAGAACTGAATGTAAAAGCCCTTTTGTTTTAAAGGCAGTGTGGCTATTGCAAGCTTATCTGACGTGGCTAATTCACACCTTCTTAGGGGAGGTACATAAATGATCTAAAAGGCAGTGTTTCCTGACCGGCTGTCAGACCTCTCCTTGCTCACCTCTCAGACCCCTTCCCCATTTCCTTCGCCATACTCTGCCCAGCGAAGGCCGGACAGTGCCCCCTTTACCCAGCGGCTTTCACTTGCAGTTCAGGTAGTAGTATCTTCCCGCGTATGTCTGTCATGTGTGGATTTCGTGAGACAGCTGAGATTAGGCGACTTCGTAAAGAAGAAAAGCTTATTTCATTCCCAGGTCTGGAGACTCGAGGACAAGGTACCGACCCTGCCTCAGCTCTGGTGAGGACCTCAGGGTGGCACAGGGTGGGAGTCTGTGTCGGAGAAAGAGATCACATCGTGATGAAGGAAGGCAGAGACGCCCAGGTCAGGCTTGGGCTTCTGTACCGATTCACTTGCACGAGAACTAACTCAAGATGGCTGTAGAACTACCCTAATTGTTCTTAGCACAAGCTCCCCGTGACCTGAGGACCTCAGGCCAAGCCCCATCTCTAAAGTCCCAGCATTTGCGCCACCACCCTGAGGACAAACCGGATCCAGGCCTCAGGGTCTTGTCCCCCTTCTCTCTGCGGAGCAGAGTAGCAGCTCCCTGGTGTCTGCAGCTCTGCTTTCTCCCTCGTACCCCACCCATCTGCTCCTACTCAGTTTGAGTGGTTCGTGTTTTCCTCTGAGATCGTTTTGCACATATTTTCGTGATTTTTAGTTTATGCTTTTGTGTACCCAGATTATATTGATGCATTTTTTGTGTCCTAAAATGCTCTGCAAGACCACAGTTCAATCCTCTATTATTCAATGGCTCTTAATTAGATTCTATTTGAATATTATCATTAACTGGGAGCCCATCACTTCCTATTCCTAAATTATACATTTGTTTTTTTCCAGGACTTAAGTTATCTCTTCCTCTTGTGTGATTGAACAGAATTGTGTGATTGAACCTTCATTTCCACTGAATTTTCCTGTTGACCCATTAAGCCTCACCCTTTCCCTTATTACCACTGCCTTTCTTTGAAACTCATGATGTGCATTAAATCACTGAAAGTACAATTTGTTCTATTCTGATTATAACTTTTATACTATATTGCCCAGAAATGTCCGAAGGGACTTCTATTGGTATTAATCCTAATTAATGAAGAGAGTTAATGAAATGGATCCAAACACGTCTCAAAAGATGAAACGGGGATTTGTGAAAAAATATTATGATGGTAAATGGGGATATAAGATACACGAGTCAAACTCCCAGTTTAGAGAGGTTCATTCAAAATCATTTTTAAAAAAATCAGGGATTGGGAAGTGCAGAGAGAGCTTTGAAAACGCGAACATTCTTGGAATCTAGATTGCCAGAGCAAAGACAAGTCTCTGTGATTGCCCAGGACAGACTTGGCTAAATTTTAAGACGTGTGCACACAGGAAGGGAAGCTAAGGCAGAGATATAACTTCCCGGGTGAGGGAGTGCTGCATCACAAAAGCAGAACCCTCTGAAAGGGCTGGGAGACTTGTTAAATCAAAGCATTAACCAACATCTCTTTATAAGCATTATCTTGCTATTAAGATACATGAGAAGAAATTTCAGTAGTTTCATATGATAAGGAATATAGACTTTATAGAGATCTTATTATGCAGCCAATAGATAGTAACATCAGCAACAAGCATCAACAGCAACTAATCCTTGGAGAAAGAAGAGCTGATTTTTAGTGTTGGCATACTATATTAGTTAAGAAATCTAATATTCAAAAATATTCTTAAAAAGTGAGTAAACAACTAGGAGGTATGGCTACACATAATTGAAAAAGAAAAATTCAATAGATAGAATCTCAAACTTAATTTAATGAAAGATCTTATAAATAAATGTAATGCTCAAACAACCCAGGAAATTTAATATTCAAAAGTTAATAAAACATTTTTTTAATAATAGTAATAATTTTACAAACTTTTAAAACACTATTCGAAGAATTTAGTATATGTCAACAATTTGGTCTCACAATAAAGCCTGGGGAATAGGGACTGTTATTTTTCCTACTTTGATTTTGGATTTCAAACTCTAAAGTTCTTTCTTTACAACGTGATGAGTAAATAAAACAAGATGATACTTTTCATTTATTTTCTCATATAGTCTCATACAAAATAAGCCAGATTAGTTCTGGAAGCTGCCTAACAAGTGCAATGTCCCAAGTTCAATGCCCGGTACAAAAAAATAAATAAATAAAATATGCCAAATTAATTTTGAAATAAATACTGCCTTGCAATATTAATCTCACTTTGAAGAAAAGTGAAATTTGTGTTTGAGAAATTTTAAGGCTATTTTGACTACCCCTGTTACTCTAAGAGCCATCAGCAATAATTTTATGGATATTTAGTAAGAAAGTAGTACATCAAATATGTAGTGTTTGTGGAAAAAAAGAAAAAGAAAAAAGAAAGAAAACACCCCAGACATACATTTTCAAAAATTTGATAGAGAAAATACATTTTTTCTTAAACTTAAAACAAAGTTCTTAGTTGAGTATTATTCTTATTGATCTGGAATATAAAATTGTTAACTATATCTAGAAAACAGAAAAACTATGTTACGTTAAAGGTAGATTCAAAGTGATAAAGAATTTACTAGGTAGAAAGCCATTATAGAAAATGTTAGCTGAGCAATTATCCAAATGAATAAAATTTATTTTAGAACACTGAAGAACCTCCATTCCACAGAACATGTCTCCTCATGGGGATGGCAGGTTGCTATAGTTTGGAGCTGGAATTTTCCTCAAAGGCCCATGTATTATAGGTTTGATCCCCAAGTTGGTACTCACTGAGGGTTGTTAAAACCTTTAAGAGATGGGGCCTCATGGAAGAAAGTTAGGTCACTGAGCCCCTGTCTTTGAAAGAGATACTAGAACTTTACTCCTTTCCTGTCTCTCTTTTTTTTAACTTTCTGCCTGTCACAGCAAGAAAAGACCCTCTCTGCCCCTTGCTCCTGCCAAGACATACTGCACCAGCTCAAGCTCAAACAATACGAACTAACAACTGTGGACTGGACCCTCTGACGCTGTGAGCCAAAAGAAAGTCTTTTACTTTAAGTGTCTTATCTCAGGTACTATTTTTTTTCACTGTGAAGGGAAGCTGACTAGAATCTGTCCTGAGATAACTCACATCATCTTCTTTTAACATCAAAACATTCAAGTGGCTATTACCCACTAGTCAAGAGAAATAAAATTATTATTTTAAAACTGCAAATTATTCAAAAAGTCTACAGCTTTAGGGTGTCATCTAGCTCTCTGACATGTTCAGCATGTTGAAGAACAAACACACACAAATGCGCACACACACACAAATGCAAATGCCTTCATGTGATTTAAACATGTTTCAAGATACTTCTATATTTAAAATAGCCATGAGTTTTACTATAAATAAAAATTCTTATGGCCTAAAACAATTTTTAGTAAATAAATTGTGTTTACAATAATATTTCCAATAAGTGATGGGACTCAACAACTGACAGACATCAAATTAAAGTTCAGATCTGTTTGAAAAATAGGCCAGTATTGACTACTCACTCATCCCGAGTTGATTAGAAAATCTGGAAAATATTTGCATGTTTTGCATTTAAAATTAATGAGGTTGAAAGGAACCCAATTGTAAATGCTGTTTTTATGCCCCATACCCTGGTAATTTTTACTTTTCTAAACTTGATCATATTTTCCTTGCAAAGAAAACTGAATATAGATAGGTATAAAATAACAAAAATATTTTTCATAGAATTTGTTTCTTATATTCATTACCTCCACCTTTGTCTCATGACCTTTGTATCATTGTAATTGTTACCATTCTGGATAGCACATCAGGCACAAGTCTGGTAATGACATCTCTATAGCACGAACCCACCTGCTCTTTAGGATAAATGAAACATTTTAATTTCTGGCATAGGATAATTCAGGCCCAGGTCTTCATTCCTGGATCGCGATGGCCACTTATTTTTGCATACCAAGATGTAAGATACAGATTTTCCTCAGAAAGCAGCTAATGGGCCCTTTTCTGCTCACCTTCTGTGAACTGTTACCTAGCAAAGTCCTGTTTTCTGTTCATTAGTGGGCCATATTGCCAAGCAAAGAAGTTTTGTCTAAACATTTTTTGTCTTTTCTTTTTTTGTTCACATACATCCAAAATGGCTATCAGCAAGTTTAAAATTTAAAACTGTGCTCCATCTCTATAGTCTCTCTTTACTAAAGAAACAAAATTGTGTAAGGCAGAAATTGATGGAGCCAGTCACTACTCAAAACACACAGGAATACTCATACTGGATCCCTTCGTGGGAAGATGTATGTTAGTATACAATGACTGAACTAAAATAGCAATGATCTTTGGCCACCTTTTTGGCTTTTGTAAGATTCTACTCTCCTCTAGCTATCTGCAGTGCAAACAAAATTGCAAAGATATCCATCACAGTATCAGTTATAAAAGAAAAAAAATGGTCTAAATTTTTAAATTATGGTAACTATATTATTAAACAACAATAAGTCAAAACAGAAAATATTGGGCCAATATAATAAAAATTTCCAGAAGAAATTAATAATATAAAAATTCTTATGCATAAATAAAAATGTATGGAATTCTATAAGCATATGTGTATGCAAATATATAAAAATTCCATCATATGAAAAAAATGAAGTGAGAAAATATATATTGCAGTTAAATTGCTGATGGTTTGATTCTCAAACTTCAGAGTTTCTATGATAAATATTAACAATGCAAAGGAGAAAAATAACTGGAGAGATGCTAATGCGAATTTGATCATTTTAATCCTTTATTTAATGATTGCATTGTTCTCTGCTACCTTAAGGAAAAAACTTTCACTGCTCAGCATTAGAAACAGAGCTCTTGACAATGAGACTCCTTTATAGCTCTCGCTTAGCATTTATTCTCACTAAATTAACCTATACTTTAGCTACTCTGAACATTATAACATACTGATTCCTCTTCCTTAATATTCTTCCCAATGTTAGAATAAGCTGTATTCCTGTCATATTTCTATTTTCTGGAATTTAATATCCTACTGTTTCTCCAGTTTTACGCCTTTCAAATATGACCAGCATGCACTTAACATTTCCTCTCAATTAACTACAGATTCAATCCCTATACCTAGTCTCGCTCACTTCCGCTTAGATTGAAGTCATAGCCACAGCTAATCTACTCAATCAAGGAGGAATCTTTCTGTCTTTCTTACCTGTCACCCAGCATCGCTCCATGCTATCCACAAGAAGCTGAAACATCCCTCCTCAGGGCTTGGCTACAATCTATTTGCAATCTACTAACAATTTGCTCCTAACCTTCCTCT